CAATCCATTTATCTATTTTGCAATTAATCCCAAATATAGGATTGCATTGAGAAGAGTATTAAAATTAGGCACTTATTCGAGCGCATCATTCAATGAATCGGTCACTTCTGAGCACTTGAGCGCAAAACATCCCATTTTTACCAATAAATTATCTATTGTTAGACATGAGACTAATTGATAGCCAAAAAAATATGACTAAATATGGAAATACGTGTTTATCTATGGAAATAAATTTGACCTCAATTTAAAGTCAATGTTTGATAAGAGGGAGTGTATAGTATAGGGAGGATATTTTTGGGATGTTTTGAATGATATGAAATTATAATTTTACTAATTTAAAAATATTACAGAATTTTGATTTAATTTATAATTATTGATAAAAACACATTTATAGATTATTAATGTTCTTAAATTCTCTTATGTTTAAGCAATTTAACAATTGTTTAGTGAATTTGTATTTTTTATTTTGGAAGTAAACTTTTTTTTATAACATTTACTTAACTTTTATTGTATTTATTTTACAACTAAACTATAATTGACTTTAAATAAAACAAAAATTTAACGGGAAAAATTCACAAGATTTCGTACAATATATGAAATGTTAAAAACAAGTTTTTTTTGGAGAAAATTGTTGTTTAAATACAATTCATATTCAGATGGTTTAGAGAAATGCATTTTAGTTTGTTTTGTTAGTAATAGTGAGAGTGATATAAAGAATTGGCACAAAGCTATAATTCATAATACATTTAATGTTGAATATAACAATGATTATTAACTGGTGTTTAATCGCTATTATTCTCACCATTTATCCAATTGAAGGTAAAATTATAAACATCGATATGTTTTTAATATTTCAGTTAATTGAGTGAAGTTTTAGACCTAATTTTATTAATTCAATATCATATCCAAAATATGTTTACTGTTATTGTTTACTGCTTTATAATATTTAAAACTATTGTTAAAACATTTGAAGAACAGATGGTATTCTGAAACCGATCTTCATTTATATACCAGTAATTCTGTAAATCTAGAGTTAAAACTACAATCTATTTAAAAGTGAACTCTTTATCGTTTCATTTGTAATACTATTTTCTATTATAAAATGAGTAAGAATTTGAATATTTTAATTCTTATAGTGAGTGTTTTAGCTATAAATGTAGTCAAAGGTATTATAAATTAATAATTATTCTCATTATATGTAATCCTTTTAAAAAGTTATTTTAATCTTAAAAAATATTGAAAATTATTTAAGGGGAAGAATTAGAGGCAGATTTATGGATGGAATCGTCGGACCCTTCATCAGTGGTGGAGTCTGTAGAGCCCGAGTGCTCGACAATTGGGTTTGTGGTTTGCCAACTCGACCAATTGGGCAACGAGTGTCCCGAAAGTTACTTCTGTCACAATTCCAGTGCTATTGAAAAACCCAACTATGGTTTGTGTAGACGAGTGAAGGAAACCTGTGTTCCCGACGGCAAACAATGCTGTCATGACATCGACTGTTGCATCGAAAATGAATTGACGGCTCCTCTCAATTGTGTCGATAAGATTTGTCGCGTTTTATTTTATTAATATTTCACTCAATTAATCATAACATTTATTATAAATATGGAGTGAATTATAAATAAAATTTTGATAATTTCTATGAAAATAATATTTATAGGTTAATTTGTTGAAATAAAGCTAATTCTATTGCTAATACTGTAGTTTCAGCTTAATGTTAACGCATTAATACAGTATAACTTTATTGTAAACCACTTATTGTCTTTCAATTCAATGAATATAATAATAACAACTTTATTAAACTTTATATTTTATAACAACTTTGAAATATTTAGATTAAAATTCAAATAAACATTACAGCAAATCACGTCATCATCTCATTAATCGTATTAACTTTCTATTAATGGGAATCATATTATGATTGTCTATAAATCCAATTCAAATCATCGAAACATATTCTCAAATAACTTAAGTCTAACAAAAGCCGGAATCCGAAGACTTCATTTGTTCCAATATATAGTTCTTTTGGTCGCAACTAATGCCCCAATTGTTCACCTCTTTGTCGAAAGTGGCAAAAGTGCCGAAGTGTCCCAAATAGCCGTTAATTCGTGCGGCGATGTGTCCGCCGATTAACTGCTTGTCACTCAATCCCAAACTTTTGATCAGATTTGAGTGCTTTCTTAACATATACTTCTGATGATAGTCTTCCGCCTCATAGAACACATCCAATGGCAAAATCCTTGTCTGAATCGGTTGAGTCAACTTCTTCTGCGCCTCTTTCATAGACTCTTCTGCCAATTGTTTCTGTTCTGAATTGTGATAGAAAATGGCGGACATATACTGTCTTTTGTGGCAAACAGTGGGCGAATGATTGGCCCAAAAAATGTCGAGAATTTTCTGTTTGTATTAAATATAAATTAATTTAAACAATGATTTCAAAGACACAAGAATTTCAAAAAAAAACCTCAAAAGTGGTAACATTTGGGTCATATTGGATATCAATGGTCTCCGTGTGATCGCCTAACTTATGATACGTGGGATTAAGGGTTGTGCCGCCCGTATAGCCCACACGAGTCCGGATTACTGTCA